CTTACCAAAATATAATCTAAGACTCAAATGTCAGTTTTATGTCACGAGAGTTGTGAGAACTGCTAAATATAGCAAATGTAAGCAAAATTAAGACATTTTAAACCGTATTTAATACCTAACGAGTAAAGAAGAATATTGAACTAAAATGAGCCAGATACACAAACTAAAAGAAACAACAAACCATGTCACAAAAATAAATTTGTGTAGTGAATGACTTTTATAAGTTTGAGAAAGAACAATTTATCCTCGACAAATGTGTACTAAACCCGCTTACGCCTGACTATAGCTGTATAGCAGTAATATTATATTTTGTTGTGCAATTTTGCAATAATTTTCACTAAAATATTTTGAAAATCGCTCTAAACCTTTTTATATGAAGCATACAAAGCTTATATACATTAACATGCATCGACAATGAACCGCAAACTCGAAGTTGTAAATAATTTGAACTTCGTGACAGTATGAAATATTAAAATATATGTTTTTTCACGGTCTGCATTTTATACCAAGTCTGCAATTTCAGTCTGCAATTTATACCTATTCTGCATTTTGTACTTGGTCTGCAGTCTGCAGTCTGCAGATTATACTGATCGGTCTGTCTACATAATCGGCTGTATATTATAGACATTATAATTTCGTGATAACAAAACACCCCATAATATTTTTTACACCAGATTTGAGAGCAACATTTGCTCATACATTTGTCCAAATTTGAAGGAAATCGGAGTTTTACCGGAAAGGGAAAATTGATTTTCAAAAAATGTACCAAACTTAAAATTTTTTAACTTAAGGTTTTTCTTGTGATTTTCCCGATATTATAGTCAGTATAATTCCGCGGTAACAAAAAGCCCCAAAATAATTTTTACATCAGCTTTTAGAGCAACAGTTTTTCTTCCTAAATTTCAAGGAAATTGGAATTTTCCCGGATACGGAAAATTAATTTTCAAAAAGTGTAACAATTTAGAATTTTTTGGATCGCAAAATAAGGCGATTTTTACACGCTTGCCTTGACTTTGAAACATCATTTAAAAGATTGCAAAATAGACTATCGTTGTTTATAAACAACTTATATACACGTTTAAAAACAGAAAGTGTGGTTTCCTGAATACGCGGACTGAGCAGAACGAAGTTTTCGAGAGGCTACGACTCACAATGTTTTTAGCTCATTTTACGAATCTTGGGTACATGTCAGGTTTTGATAATTTTTCGGCGTTTAAAATAATTATATTTCAGAAAACAAACTCCATCACGTTTCTAAGTGTATCACTGGACAAAATAAGAAAACATTTCATTTTTCATCATGTGCCACCAGTTGCTCGGTGATAGTGGAGATTCCCTCTTAATATCCTCACTAAATCAATTAAATGTTCGGTTTCCAAAAGAAGTGTTTTATTCAGACTAAATGCGATTAAATGTAACCACCTTTACTCAGCTTTTTAAAGTGCCTATATCACTTGTGGGATCTTTACGGATTTGAAAAGAGCACAAAAAGTTATATAACGAGTTCTTCAACCTTTTTTGATTTAGTTCAATAGTTTTTGAGATATAGGCCCTCAAACAAGGCAATTTTGACATTTTTTGAAAAAAATCCGTCGTACTAAATTTTGCTTGGGGGCCTGGGACTCAGGAACGCGGGCGTAAAAAACACTATAGATTATATTGCAATTTGCCGATATAACTTACTAAAATGATAATTTTTGCAAGAAAAGTCGGTTTATTTAGCTCAAAATCGTCTTCCAGTACTGACAAAAGTTCATATATACGATTGCGCTAAATATAAAATCGTGGTGAAACGCACAAAACGACTTCAAAATCAAATTTGAAAGTGAGCCTTCCTAAATGTCGTCAAGCATCGCCGAGCATGAAAGAGTTAGCATTACTGAAGAATATGTTTTGAAAGCTAGAAGAATATATAACAGGGATGTAAAGAAATTATTTATAGATGGAACGGGCATAATCGTATTAGTTCTCGGTAAGTGAATCGAATATTTTCTATTTGTAAATATCGTGTGATAGTCACATTTGTGATTTGGCAATTAATAATATTCTGCGACTGCAAGTAAATAAAAAACGAAAAATTGTGTGTATTTTAGATTCAATACTAATAGCTTAACTATTGAAAAACACTATAAAATTTGAGATAGACAAGGGATAACCGGTTTGATTTGGCCATTCACAAAATATGCAGGATTTGATTCTGTTTGCCTCAATTGCTTTTGATCTGATCATTTGAAAACCTGTGTTGCACAAACATGTGGTATAAGCTGATTCAAAGGAGAATTAATTTTTGAGGTCTTAACTGAATATTCTTATAAACTTTGGACATATTCAGTTTAATAGGGCCATGCAAAGTTTCTGTTTATTATAGGAATAGGTTAATGCACCTTGCTAATGTCAAGGCAAAGTTTGAGTTGCACAGATTACTGTGTATTCAGTAAACTGTATAACAGATCACTGGTTTGCCTCATGGAGGCAAGTAATACATTATTAAAGTCTAGGTATAATTATATCTCTACTTTTAGGTCTTTATATCAGTGGCATACATGTGATTCACAAGATTAGCTCATGGTTGTAAAAAAGATGAAATAATACCATTATGTTCTGTTTATCAAACTATCTGCAGTTTTTAATGGGAAAGATGATGACTTCAAAGGATATGAATATTTGGAAGATGAAAAATAAGAAATATAATTTTAAAGCACGACTAACCACAAATATGATTTTTGGTAAGCAAATTTATAGCCTATATAAATTTAAGTTAATGAGACAAGGTGTGATGGTAAGATGAGGAGGTAGATATGGTTTATATCAACCTAATCTTTGACAGTTTGGTCAAAGATCTTGACAGATAGGTCAAAGATCATTTTCTGCCAGCTAGCACACATTCACGTGAACAAACCGTGAAACTATACTGTGAACCAATTGAAAACCTTGTATGACTCTGTTCTGTGCTTTGACCAATCACAGGGCATAACACAGCCCATCCTAATTGGCACATAACATGCACGAGTTTATGCAAAATAACGTAATTTACTCTGAGATGTCGACAGAGTAACATTATCGAAAGATTTTCAAAATATAACTCTACCGCGGGCAAGCACTTTTTTACTCTTCTGGTGGACAAAGGAATACGTTGGCTCAAGTACCGATATGTGATTCAGGGAGACGTAGTTTATTCAAACATAACTCTGCCGCGGGCAAGGACTTGTACTCGTCTGGTGGACAAAAGAATACGTTGGCTGAAGTATCGATGTACTATCCAGTGAGACGCAGTTTATCCAATATAACTCTACCGTAGTCAAGTGCTTTTACTCTTCTGGTGGAATAATGAATACGTTGGCTCAAGTACCGATGAAGTTATTAGCGTCAGCCGCTGGTGGAATTATAACAAGATCGAGAGGCTACATAAACACGGATTCAACTAGCGTACATGCTTAAGTGAAACGGATATATTTGGTGCGTATAAAGTATGCGGTGAATTCACACGTTTGCTTCGTATTCCGTTTTTCAAACCAACCAAAATGCTTTAACTTCGTCTATTTTATCACAGAATTTGGGTATATATAGTAATTGTCGAACGCCAAATGTATCGACTATTCACGCCCAGACTGGAATGCTTGCAAATTGCGCGGGGAATTAATTTTCGCTTCGTTTGTTTGCGCGGATACAAAATCGAAAAATAATTTGCAGTTTGCTTACGAGTTATGATCAGACATTTGATGTACTAAAATACAGACAAACTAGTGTAAATTGCTGTAAAATTGTAAATTTAAATTTCGCGCGGATTAAGTTTTAAAATATCTATCATATGCGCGGATGGTTCCCAATTTTTCAATTTTGCGCGGATGAAACCAAAGCTTCGAGATATTGCGCGGAGAAGAACTTCCCCGCGCACAGCAAAGATTCCAGTCTGGATTCACGCTAAATCGATCTGTATTTCAATGTCAATTGTATTACCACCTTGAGGTTATTAACCTGCCAGATTGGGCCTCTGATTTCGTATTCCGCTTCCCAAACCAATCAAAATCTACTAAATTCGTCCATTTTATAAGGACATTTACATTCTGGTGTATTATTTCTCGATCAAAAATTCCAATGAGTCAATGACAATTTTATTACCACCTTGAGGTTAGCCGCTGATTAGGCTTCAGATTACTCCTCAGATTCGGCGTTGGATTGGGTTTCAATCAGGATTCAAGCCTTACATTAAACTGTATTCAATCGTTCAAAAGTAGACTTATAAACCTCTTTTTCAGGTATTTCAGAGCGCACGTTAATAAAACCTAACATTAATTGGACCTGCATACATTGTCAATACTTTACTGTTCAAAACATAAGAAAGCAAGCTCATTTGTTAAGATTTCAAACACTGCACATATATATTTATCTACATTTGCGATAAGTCGGCAAGATGGATATCATGAAAGATTGGTACAGAATTAACAACACCATGCATGCCTACGCTCATAAAAATTGAAAATTCTTCAATGTACTATCTGATCATTTAACTGCATGATATATTTAGTCTACCAAATACATATTTTACAATTTTGCTAATATCATAAATGCATGATTGGATGTCCGATCGCAACACTGTGGTTATAAGCACCTGAATTGCAATTTGGTCCTGCTATTTCGAATTAAAGTAACGAACAAGCTATATTTCTGAGAGTAATGTTACGTAACTCAAGAAAGTTCCACCAATCATAATTGAAATAAAATAAGAGTGATAAATGTTGTGCAAAACGCCTTAATGAACACATTTAAATTTTAAAAATATATATATATATATATATAATAAAATGTGCCTTGATGGTGAGCTTTTTTTGTCGTGTTACCAACCCTCCAATTAAGAACTTGTAATATAGAAGCTTTGTGGGGAAGCTGCTGGTTGTCTTGGCCCCATCCAGGTTTCCTGTATATTCCAGGTTTTTTCTGGCCTCCCTGACTATCCAGCTATAGTATGAGTGATGGTAATGCTCAAATATATGTCAAACTTTCATCTGGCAGCAGCTGTCTTGCAACTCTATTTGGGGTATCAGCCACTTTGACAGATGTGCTAACCGCTAAAGAACTATCAATGTTTCGGGGGGAGGGTTCGTCTATGGGGAATACACATTCTGTGTATTTGTGGGGATGAAGTCTCCATAAAATGTCAACTTCAGGCCCATAGACTCAATATATGTCACACATAATATATCTAAATCTAAGGACTGTCCATGGGGGGTTACCCCCCATGTTCAGGTTAAGGACTGGCCATATGGGTTTAGTGCCTTTGGTCAGGTTAAGGACTGTCCATAGGGGTTTTGCGCTCCGATTGGTCAGGGTAAGGGCTGTCCATACTGGGGTTTCGTGCTCCAGTTGGTCAGGTTAGGACTGTCCAAGTGAATCTTGGTCAGATTATCAGCAGCCAGTTCAGAAGCTGTGCAGCTAATAGGGTGTGACATATGAGTAGGCATGATGCTTGTCATATACTGTAAATGGACTCTTCACAACCCCGAACCCCTCTCCCACAAAAATAAATAATCGTGTTTAATATTGTGTTTCTCAAGAAAGTGGAGGAAAAATCAACAACTTGAGTCATTAATGTGCAATATCTGTGTCATTCGTTCGAAGAAATGTTATCTCTATAATAAAAAAATCCCTTCTTCGTTGACCTTTTCACTGTCAAAGTTTCCGGATATGTCATTAGGTGAATTTTTACTATAAAGATACATTACATTTCTTCTTAGAATTATGACCCAAATATCACATAAGCCAAAAATTCTATTTGGGGTTAGTCCAACTTTAATTAATGCATGTTTGATTTTTTGTCATTAACTTGCATTTAATAAAGTTACAGCACACATAGTGCACAAATAATATCTAGTCTATTTGTTTAAAAAAAAATCAACAGACAAAGGAGTCAAAGTCATGAAAAAAAGAAATTCATGCTACTGTGTACAGGAAAATGTTGATTTAAAAACTACTTGATCAACAAGAACAGCTTAGGAAGACAGGTTATACAGAATTGAATAATAGTTGAAGGGTCTTGTATAGATGGAAATTATCGAGTAGAAATTTATATGCATTTATTATACCTAACCAGGAAAAGTTGTGAAAAATCAAAGTTCAACCGCTGATCCCTCGCAGAAATCCAACCTGCTGCCCTGCAATTCCGATGCAGTGCTAGCTGTAACCAATATATACAGGCGTGGAAAAAATAGTTGAGCACTGCTCGCAGTAAATGTTAAACAGCTGCAGGAAATTTGTTTGAATAAAGATTTGCTATTGATTAACATTTGAAGGAAACCTTAACACCCATGTGGGCTATGGGTGCAACAACATATGGTTGACAGACATTATTCCTTGAATTTAAAACCATGGTCAGCTAGAACACCATATGTTTATGCACATGTACATTTAGCACAAAAATAGTCTAATACTAATAAAGGAAATTTTTGTCTCCAGGTTGTGCTCCCAGGAAGAAAATTCTTTTCTCCTGCCCTGAATATATATATAGAGAGTACTGCCATGTTCAGAGTATGAGTAAATATCGTGATTTTGTTGGCTTCTCACTCGATTCAATAATAGTTGAAGGGTCTTGTATAGAAGAATATTTAATAAATGTATATAAATTTCCACTCAATAATTTTCATCTATACAAGACCTTTCAAACAGGGCCAGCCCTGCAAACCAGGCACACATAAACAGCCCCTAAATCGTGCGATATTGGTCTGGATCCTTGCAGATGTCATCATGGCTCCAACCCTCACAAGTTCAGGTTGTTTGGCAATGGTTGGAATGTTGGGAGCTTTACCATTAACAGCAAAGCCATAAATTCAAGCCAAGTATTTATATATTGGTCTATTGCAGCAATAAAGCTAATACAATCATTGAATCATGAAATGTATTGTGATTTTCAACAGTACAAAATTAGAATCGAAAAAGCTCCTCCTTTACTTATTTTTTATATCTCAATAATTCAAGCTGCAAAACATAATCACTCAAAGACAACCCAAAATATGGTATTAAATTGCAAATGGCAAATACATAATACATATAGAAAATGGCAAATACATTTACATATAGAAAATATATTATTCACTTTAATACGAAGAACTATCACGATATACTGTACATGTAAGGTCCGTTTCATGTGAAAATGAATTTCCTTATTTCCTTGTTATATTCTTCCAACTTTCAAACGTATTCTTTGGCCCATATTTTGTCAGTGTAGCTTTAAATGCCAACATTTTCATGCTCGACGAAGCCAGATGCCATCTACGAAGGAGCACTTTCAAATTTGATTTTGAAGTCGTTTTGTATGTTTCACCTTCAATTTTATATTCAGCGCAATCGTAGGAACTTTTTTCAGTACCAGAGAACGATTTTGAGCTTAATAAACCGACTTTTCTTGCAAAAATTCTCACTTTAGTAAGTTACAGCGTCAAAATATAATACAATTCTATAGTGTTTGTTTACGCTCGCGTTCCTGAGTCCCAGGCCCCCAAGCACGACGGATTTTTTTAAAAATTGTCATGTTTGAGGGTCAATATCTTGGAGAATACTGAACCAAATCAAAAAAGGTTGAAGAACTTACGAACTAACTTTTTGTGCTCTTTCCAAATCCGTAAATATCCCACAAGTGATATAGGCACTTTAAGTTCACTTTATCGTTTGACATGGTTGAGAACTAGAATTATGTTTGGTAATTTTATAATGTGAACACTATATAATAATCAATAGTTTTGCTCTGAAATATTAATACTCAGGACTCCCCCTGTCCGAGCTGGTGCTTCATGAATATTTTTTGCCAACTCTAATTTTATATTTGATTTTTAACCATTAACTTGCAATGTTTCCTATTATACAGTACCTTATTTTATTGTTTTATTCTGTCTAATGCCAGACAATTTTGATTTTATTTGCCAAGGGGATCTTTATATGCTAAGTAATTTTACCTATCAATGACCAATGGGAGCCAGGTCCAGCTGTATTAGTGTATACTGTATATCATCTTACACAGAGTATTAATAAAAGAAATTCCACCTTTCAGTAATCAATATAAAAACATTACAGTTTGCCATTGAAATTTAATGAATAAAATATTGTTGTCTGTGTTGTTGTGCGTAAAGATTTGATATAGGTTTATAACTGTTTTAGCTACTAGTGTTTTAGATTTTACTATATATATTTACTATTAATATAATAATTTTAGCACAATTGGCGTAAAAATCCTAATTCTATTATATGCCTTACCATAATTTTATATACGTACTACTTACATAATTCTAAAGAAAGTACTAATTCATAGTCTTAATTAATATATAAGAGTTTTGTATTTTACTCTTCTTAATCCTATAAACACATAATAATTTCGCTATATACTTTGCTATTGAAATGTGATTAATAAACCATTATTATTATACATCTTACCTCATTAGAACGCTTTCGTTTTGTAATATTGCCCAAAAAGCCACTCCATTGTAAGTCTTGCCTCTTCGGGTGTCAATTATATAGTTGTCCTTTGCTTCATAACACGTTTGAAATTTCTGCAGACAAATACTTTCGTCGCATCTCTTTCAACAATGTAACTATTTCGTTTAGTCTTTGAATCTCAATCTTTACTGTTTGGGAGTCCAATTTCTTTATTTTCGCGCTGAACTACATTTTAAAGAACGCAAAAGTTAGTTTCATGATTTCTGTATCAGTGTAAGTACGAGCGAGCACACAATTGCGAATTCCTTTGAAAACAACATCAAGCAAGATTGGGAATATACGCGGACGGCTGTTATGAAATTTGTTCTATATTTGAAACCAGACACTGTGCGTTTGAATAAGTAATAATTAAGCTTTAATGAAAGATTTAAAAATGGAGATTGTCTTGTTTGTAATAGTTTGTGCTCCTTTTTGAGAAAATTATTCCCACTTCTTTTTTCCCGTCAGTTGTTATTTGAAGATAATTTTTAAAAGTTGTCCATGTTTAAACTGGATAGATTCAAAATTATAAGTGACACTGCGGAGTTGAATGGACTTGATTGTTGCTATAGAATTCTGAAATATTCAGAATGGTTTGTTTCATTGAAATTTGAATCAAATTTATATAGTGTGTAATTAGTTAAGAAGAACATTAGCGGAAAAATATCAGTTTTAGTATGACAGATTGCTGATTTTAGCATTTGCAAGCATTATTATCTGAAATTGGCTTTCACACTTTCAGACAATTACACTGTAGTATTTAGTTGCATTACGTTTCTTATACACACTGTATATGAACAGGTTTTGTGATTGCTTGATTGCAACAATGAAACACAATAGAAATAAAGGAAACCTCCGAATATAAGTCCATCCGAGTATAAGCCCCCTTCCCCGAATATAGGCGCCTCTGTGTAGAAGCCCATGGACTTATTATTGGACAGATATATATATATATATATATATATATATATATATATATATATATATATATATATATATATATATATATATATATATATTATTAACGCAGCCACGGGGATTCCAACAGCTCAAAAGGTGAGAAATGTTGGTTGATCGTAAAACCGTAGAAAGAAGATATTGCAAGAGGGTCATTTGGGGAAACAACAATTAACATAACAACGCAAGGACGGAACTGACATCTAGGGATCACGGTCATATTTGGTTGAATATGTTAATGAGAAAGTCGAGGGATGGTTAGAAGAAGTAACCAAGCTAGCCAAATTTGCGGTGTCACAACCTCAAGCGAGCTATGCGGTATATACGTTTGGTCTGAAACACCGATGGACATATTTTCTCCGAACATTACCAGACATTCAAGATTTGATACAACCTTTAGAGAATGCAATTTCCAACATCTTTCTACCGGCGTTGACAGATCATGAATGCACCCAGCTCGAACGCGACATTCTGGCTTTACCCGTACGAAATGGTGGTCTAGGAATTCCAAATCCATGTCACGAAGCAACGAAGGAATACGCAGCCTCTATACAAGTAGCAGGTCCACTGGTACGTCAAATTGAATCACAAATGCATGAATTACTTGACCAATCGGACGTACAAGCACTGAAAAGGAAAGCAAGACAAGAGAAAAATGGAATCGCAAAAGAGAAAGCTGATCTGATTAGCAACTCAGTATCGCCAAAATCAAAACGTATGCTAGACCTTGCCTCAGAAAAAGGAGCTTCTGCTTGGCTACAAGTTCTGCCAATTTCATATATGGGTTTCAATTTGAACAAGTGAGAGTTTAAGGATGCTTTGAAGCTGAGATACGATTGGCCACTTAGTGATATCCCAACAAACTGCGTATGTGGAGTGCCTTTCAATGTAAACCATGCTATGATATGCGGTCGAGGGGGGTTATTATTCAATGCCACAATCAATTACGGGATTTAGAAGCTGAACTTCTAAACATTGTTTGTAATGATCATGTTCAGATTGAACCTATCCTACAAGAAATAAATGGTGAACCATTAAACCCAGGCGCAAATCGTTCTCTTGACGCTCGACTTGACGTACATGCACGTGGCTTTTGGGAGAGGCAAAGGTCGGCATTCTTTGATATCTGGGTATGTCACCCAAATGCAGAGTCCTACCAAGACCTAACTCCTGTACAGATCTATCGTATCCACGAGAATGAAAAGAAACGTATGTACAACAACCGGGTTACATATATTGAAAAGGGAACATTTTCAAACCGCGATTACTCGTCAGTTTCGTGGGAACAATTCAGTTTTTAAACTTCTCGTAGAAAAAACATCTCTTCCTGAATACGATGGCGTGTCTTTTATTTAATTTACTCATTTATAAACCCAATTGTCCCCAGGGGTTTGGAAAGTCACTTTTGACACTTGTGCATTGACCCGAAAAACAGGTCAATACAAATTGCGATTAGCATATAACTAAACGTTATTAAAACACCAAATAAAGCAAAAATCGTTAACTTGACTCATATTTAAAACAATTATAAAAACTTACCTTCAAAAATACGAACTTTTCTTGGCGAAATACCGAAATAAATATCCAGAACTTTTGCAACTAACATTGTGAGAAATCACGATTGTGAATATTAATGAGTTGAAATGCATGCAAGGAAGAGCTTCCAACCTCCTCTGGCTTTAATCGTATTTTGAGTTAATGGGTGAAAATGTGTTGGGTGTTTAAAATTGCTCCACGAAATTTCAGACAATTTGCTTTAGTTTAAGCCCTTCAATTATTCACACAAACGTACATATTTTCCTAAAAAATTATCTTTTTGCATGCTTAATTAATGCCTTTCAGTAATTTGCATAGTTTAGCAATACGCAAACTCCGGCATTAAGCATGCAAAAGGCTGATTTTTTTACGGAAAAATGAATAGTTAAAGTGCTTAATTTGAACTAAAGCGAAATTTCTGGAATTTTGTACAGTAATTAAAAACCCAACAAAATAAATGCTCCATCCATTAACTCAAAATACGATTAAAGGTTTTAAATTTCGTGCGTAAGTCATTTTTAGACTATTGGAAAAGAAACTCCCCCCTGGTTTACAAAATTTGAATTCGAGTATTTTTTTTCATTATTCTACATTACGGCTACTCAATGAATCTACATATAACAAAAACTGTGATACCACGAGCTGTTTCGCGAAATTGAAAGCAATTTCAAATCTGTTCAGTTTTTTATGTACCTGTTGTAACAATTACATCATTCAAATCGTTTCACCCACTTCAATCTATGCTGAGGAACAAGTAAACCCCCCCTCTCCCGTCCCCTTCCCCAATCTCGTACCCAGAGGAACGGGCATACTCTGGGTACCAGATTGGTAACCGGCTAACCTGAGATCAGGCTCTATTAAATATAGAGCCTGACACAATCCTAAATCCGATCGTTTTCCACCCACAGAAAAGTTTATATTTAGTATCCAATGAAAATGTTGCAAGAAAAATTTAATTTTCACACAACGAGAACAACAATGTAATTACAGTTGTGATCACTATAAAATATATCAACAACAATAGTATTATCTAATTAGCACCAACCAATCAAATGACAGATTAAAAAATCTTTTGTCTCATAGACGAATCAGATTTACAACCGAATGCGGTAGTAAGGCATGAACTTTCGTGTTTATTTATAGGCCTGATCGCAGGTTAGGTAACCCCATAAATACCGACGGAAGTTATTAGTATGCAAAATATTCCTGTCGGAAGTAAATGTATTTGAATAATAATTTCACCGTAGCTACCCATGACGTGGTGTTCCGGTGGTGTTCCGGTGTTCCGGTAGTCAGTGTTTTACTACATGCCAAATTATACAGTACTCATGCAACCTAGTACAATGTTGGATTGTTTGGCCAGGGATGACCTTTAAAGATTAATCAAGGAAGGGCATAAGCTATACTTAGTCGAGTACGTTATGAGGTGTATTCCTAATCTCAGGTTTCATTATGTTTTCGTGGTAATTTCTTTATTGCGTGATATTTAGTTAATTTTTTACATTAAGGCCCAGACACACCGGACACGATTTGACACGCGCTGCGATTTGATACGCGCCGCGATTTTTTAACTGATAGATCACTTCTGCCTTAGTATAGGAGTTATTTGCTAAACAATATTTTAAAAATTTTCTTTCATAGACGGTTTTGTTTAGACTGTTTAGTTTTTACCTTTAGAAACGGGAAAATCGCGTTGCGTTACCGTCTTGCCGAATTGAGTCCGTCCGGTGTGTCTGAGCCTTTAATTTAATAAGCCCAGCTGGTCAAATGATACGCAAATAATCTGATTCATGCAATGAGGGAATCAATGGATAACTTAATGAAGATTACAATAAAATATGTAACGTGAAGTACACAAGCTATCTTTTATGAAGAACGATTAATGTTTTTCTCTAATAGTTACACAGTTAAACATGTATTTTCCCTGTATATTTTTAACAAAATGAAACTTTTTCAAACGACCTACAGTAATCCGCTTTTTTCCATGCCTCTCGTTTGATCGCAGTTTTATGAATACAATAGCATCGCCTTCAAGTACAACGTTAATTAAGTCAGTATTCACTAGTAAGTATACTGTATATCATCTAAATGTTCTTATTTCTGCCATATTTATCACCATATCCATTAATTCATGCATACACGCAGGGATCTGAGTTACGGTTTTTTTCGTAAAAGTAATTAAATATTTTGAAGTATCATATTTGTTGGAATATCAAAATACCGTAATAAATGCAACCACAATTCTCAGTTCAAAATGGAAACCACACTATTTTTATAGTTGGCAGTTCGGATGATGCATTTACGAAGACTGGATTCAGGAACTGGAAGAACGCTACAGGAGAAAAGGGAAAGCTGTGCAAGCATGCCAACTCGCGGATGCATATGCTCTCTGTTGAACGTATGCAGCGTTTTAAATCAGCAACGCCAATCGACGTCCAACTAAACAAGGAAGCGGAGAAAATACGAGGGAAAAAGGAACAGGAGAGGGTAGAAAATCGACATATCGTGGAAACTATTTTTGATGTTGTTCGACATTTGGCCAAACAGAACAGTTCTTTTCGTGGCCATGACGAGTCGGATGATTCCAAAAACAAAGGTAATTTCCTTGAAGAGCTTGAATTTCTCTCCAAATACCACGCACCATTGAGAAAGTGGATGGATACCCATCCCGAGAATGTCTCGTATTTCTCACATGTGAGCCAGAATGAGATGATCAGTATTCTAAGCAATCTCATTACTGAAATCATATGCAATGAAATACGTTCTGCAAAATATTTCTCCGTTCAATGCGACGAGGTTACATCTCACAAAAAGGCCTTCATGTCAGTCATACTTCGGTACGTGACGGATTTTAAGATAACTGAGAGGTGCGTCAGGCTTGTAAGAGTGTCTAGCTTAAAGGGAATTTCTTTGGCTGAGGTGATCATTGATATATTGAAGGACCTAAAACTTTCTCTAAAGGATCTCATTGGAAAAGGCTTTGACGGTGCAGCAAATATGTCTGGAAAGGACGAAGGCGTGCAACGACATTTGACTGAAGCTGGAGCAGAGTTTTCGATTTATTTTCATTGCTTTGCCCATAGGCTCAACCTTGTCCTTGAACAAAGCGTAGAAACAGTTCCCCCAGTCAAGGCAATCTTCGAAACAATCGGGGACATTTATCGGTACATGGAAGGGTCACCTAAAAGGCATAAAATATACGAAGACCATTTGAAAGCGAATGGCATTACGTCAGGCAAGATGGCTATCCACTCATTCTCTGATACGAGGTGGACTGCGCGCACTGAGAACTTGGAGGTTGTGATTAACGTGTATCCAGCACTGTTATCAATGTTTAAGAAACAGTCTGAGCAGAACAATGACAGTGTTGCAACTGGATTACTTGTGCGTTTAACTGGCCGTTTCGATTTTTAGCCGCATGCCTCATGTTAGAGAAATGCTTTTCTCTTAGCACACATGCATCAGAGTACTTGCAGAGAGAAGATATGGATCTCACATCAGGAGTTACTGCCATTCAGGATCTAAAAGCAACAATGACATCTTATCGCAGTGATCAACAGTTCGACCTATTTCTAGAGGAAGCTAATTCATTAGCTGAAAAATGTGGTAACGAAGTGCTTCATGGTAGTTTTACTTTTAATGATTGCAATCCAACAGCGTTGCAATCCAAGCGTCGCCGAACACTACCTGCTCATCTCGCTGATGGCCAAAACATTCTAGATATGCCTAACCTACGATGCAACCGACCAGATGGTGAATCAGAGCTGGAGTGTTTTAGACGAGAACTTTACTTGCCGTTCTTGGACAGGATTCTACGAGAGCTGAACAAACGCTTTTCGGAAAAAGCATGCGAAATGATGACTCTTGCCGCAACATTCCATCCACGAAACCTTGCTGAAGATAATGCTCCTAAAGTTGAGAAGATTGCCCAGTTCTACAAGCTTAGCAGCAATCGTGTCGGGCAACAATTCCTCCTATTTTCGAAATCGAAGCAATGTAACGACTGGAAGATTGCATACGAGCATCATATCAGCGAACAGAAGGAAAGAAAAGAGAAAGGGTCCACAAGAAAGTTTCCATCTTGGATTTGCTTGCCCTCCTTGCTCGAAGTTTTCAGCAAAGATGATCTGCACCACCTTTATCCCGACTTGTTTGAGGTCATCAAGATTGTC